ATTACAGGCTGAGCCACCGAGCCCGGCAATCTTTTTTTTTTTAATAAGACATAGAAATAGCTTTACTTAAAATAACTCTGTATTATAAGGGAGTTTTAACTATAGCTAATTCTTTCTAAAAGGCTACTAGAATTTAATAACAGACCACTAGGATTAAACCTTAAAATTGTGAATAAGTGCCATTCTGTTAGTGTCCTACATTTGAATTCTAAAAGCAAAATAGCACACATTCTATTTTTAAAATCCTAAGTATCTGACAGTAACTAAGTTGTAATTCTAATTAATGAGAGTTTAAAAGAAAACAAACTTAAAAATGAAAAATCTCAGAGTATTGAACCACCTGATGTTCCATTTTAACCAGAGATATTCTGTCTTGCCTGTCTTATAAAGTGCTTATGAAATCTAATATAATGACACATAGTTTGAAGACAAGTTGGTATTGCTGGACCACTTACTAGAGAAGTTCAAAGTTGGTACTATAGTTTTTCTACTATTCCAATCTTATGTCATATTGAGATGTAAAAATTCAGCTCTGAATGATTAAAATAAATATTGTGTAATGTGTCGTTCAGTAGTTGAGTGCTTCCTCCCTCCTGCTCACAGATACAAACATGAATAAAGCATACTTTTGGCCCTGTTTCATTTATCATTACTGTATTTTTTATGCCTTACATGGTATCTGATACATAGTATATACTCAGTAAATACTTATTGATTGAATGTCCTTGAGAAACTTGTTGGCTGGTGGGAGAGTTAGACTCGTAAAAGGATTTTTAAAAGTTGTAGCCGGGCTCAGTGGCTCAGCCTGTAATCCTGCGCCTTTGGGAGGCTGAGGTGAGTGGATTGCCTGAGCCGCGGGTTCAAGACCCACCGGGGCACCGAGACTTCATCTCTACAATAAATCAAAAAATCAGCCGGGCGTGGTAGCGCATGCCTATAATTCCGGCTACTTGGAAGGCTGAGGTGGAAGGATCACCGGAGCCCAGCAGGCGAGGCTGCGGTGGCTGGGAGCGGCCACTGCACTCCAGTCTGGGCGACCGAGTGAGACTCCAACTCAAAAAAAAAAAAAAAAAAAAAGTTACGATGTAAATAAAATTCATAATATAAGTAAGAAATTTGTAGTCTCTCAAGAAAGAAAGGAGGTTTCACAATGTCTCCATTAGTTTTTGCCTTCTCTCATATTATATTTTATAATTTTAGAAAATATTATTATCACCCAAGCAATCTCAGGAAAATTGACGTGTGCTATAGTTTTCTTGTTTTTCTTTTTATCTAGGTTCTCAGGCGTTGGTTGTTTCTATGAAACCAGGCAGGAATTTGAATGCATTGTTTTTAAAACTCAACTTGCTTCTTTCTATTTGACTGGCATTTACTATTTTCTGCATTTCATTCTCTCACCTAATCTCTTCCTTTCTAATCTGCTTACTAAAAATGAAGATTTAACATCAGAAGCCGGTAACTGATCAAAGGGAACTTAAAGATGCAGTCTTGTGGCGCAGTTTGAGCTGCTAACCTGCTATCTAAAGGTGATGCTTCAAATGGCTTTTCTGTGCATGTGCATGGATTTTGTGAATGGTGGAGACTGTCTCAAAAACTGTACTGTGTTGTGTAATGTAAAGTGAATTTGTTCTTGATGGGTGCTGTCTGACAAAACAATATGGACTTGACAAAAGGATCTTAGGTTATAATACTGTCTTTTGACAAATGGCTATGATAACCAAATTTTTGTTAAATAACATTTAAGATTACTACAATAGAAATACTTCTGAAGTTTCCTGAGAAGTTCTAAATAGCTTGATCTTTGAGATAGCTACTATAGTCTAGTTCTAATTCAGGCTAAATGCATCACTCTTCTTAGGACTTTGATTTCAGCATCATATCTTCCATTAAGTTTTTCTACTTTGTTCTGGTTCCTGAGTCAATATTTCCTCCCTGAAGTGTTACTTCTAATGATTTGGATTTTCCATGAGTTAGGTCACTATCGAATTAAGGAATTAATTGCCAGTTTAGTCATCTTAAATCGTATTTGGAACAAGGTGATATATAAACTTCAAATATATTTATATCGAGTTTCTTTTTTAAAAAATAAGGTTTTCCTCTCTACCTATTTTACAATCTGTTTCATAATTCCTATTATATCATGTGTTAACTTGCTATGATTTCATGTTAAATTAATACAAAACTTACATCTTAATTTTTTCATTAAAGTTAACTTTTTTATCAGCTTACTGTTTATTATAATGTCTGACTTGCTCTTTTTTTTCCTTTTTTTGAGTAAGAGTCTCACTCTGTCACCCAGGTTGGAGTGCAGTCTCACAGCCACTGCAGCCTTAACCTGTTGAGCTCAGATGACCATTCCAGTTTTCTAAGTAGCTAGAACCAGAGGCTCACGCCACCACATTCTGCTAATTTTCTGATTTATTATAGAGACGAAGTCTTACCCAGTTGTCTAGGCTGCTCTCAAACCCCTGACTGGACCAAGGAAATCCTCTTACCTCCGCCTCCCAAAGTGCTGGGATTATAGCACGCCCGGCTTGACTTGCTCATAATTTTAGATCTTTATAAGAATTATGAAGACTATGATTAAATGTTTTAAAAAATTAAATATTGATTTCAACCCTTTGCTTCCTGCCCTCTTTTTTCTTCTTTCCTTAGCTTCACCATCCAAAGCACACACCTATATACATTCACTCTCACACTCATATTACAATTGGTATTTATTTAATCCCTTTTATGGAGTAATAACTAATATTTGGCTTTCTTTTTGCTATTTTTTATTCACTTATTACTAATGTTGATGACAACCAAACCCCAAAAAAATTGTTAATGTTTTTGTGCTTGTATCTTGCCATTTTATTGTTCTTGCTTAATAGCAGCTTCTTGAATTACTTAAGGGAAATTTCAAATTCTTATTTCAAACTTGCCATTTTAGAATGATAAATTAAATGAAAAAAGTTATTATTAAATATTATTAATGAGCCAGGCTTGATGGCTCATACCTGTAATCACAGAACTTTAGGAGGCGGGGTGAGGTGCCTGATCACAGGGGTTTGAGTACAGCCTGGATAACTTGGCAAGACCTGGTCTCTCCAATAAATCAAAAATTTAGCCAGGTGTAGTGGCATTCACCTGTAGTTCCAGCTAATTGGAAGACTGAGGCGGAAGGATCGCCCAAACCCAGCAAGTCGAGCCTGCAGTGGCTGTGTGCGTGCCACTGCATTCCAGCCTGGATGACAGAGTGAGACTCTCACTCAAAATAAAAAATAAAAATATTATTAATTACTTCTCAAAACTAACATCTGTCACCTGTCTAGATGTAACTCTAACTTTCCAGATAGAGTTTTTGATCTTGTTAAAGTTTATCACAAATTTTCGTAAGCATTTTTTCATGAAGGTTAGTTTCTTCCTGGAAGGAGCTGTACATTTTATTTTACAAAACTATCCTGTTGCAGATTATAATCATTCTTTCTTACTGTAGACTAAAACAGCCTGGGTCTAGAAGTTTTTTATGTAACCATATTCCAATTATATTCAGCTACCTATAGATCTCAAAGCTAGGAAATACTAATGGGTCAAAAGAAACATGCCAAGTTGTAATCTGTGCACTTACAGGCATGATCTGTTAACTGAGGGTCACGCTGAGGTTTAAGCCAGTGAATAAAAATATTTATTCAGTGATTTATAGAGAAATTTTACATGTTATCTGTTATTTTTCGAATTGGAGTCTCATGCTGTTGCCAAGGTTGGAATGCAGTGGCATGCTCACCCCCACCACAGCCTCAACTGATTGTCCAATTTGGAAATTATTCATGCCTTTCCTTTGTAATATATTGCTTGCTTGTTTTCAAGAAGGCTTGTTAAAATTTTCATACAAACCAGGCACGGTGGCTCAAGCCTATAATCCCAGCACTTTAGGAGGCCAAGGCAAGAGGATTGCCTGAACCCAGAGGTTTGAGACCAGCCTGGGTAACTTGGTGAGACCTCGTCTCTACAATAAATCAAAAAATTAGCTGGGCATGGTAGCACGTGCATGTAGTTCCAGCTACTTGGAAGACTGAGGTGAAAGGATCGCCTGAGCCTAGTAAGTCGAGGTTGCGGTAGCCATGAGTGTGTCACTGCACTCCAGACTGAGCGACAGAGTGAGACTCTGCCTCAAAAAAAATTTTTTTTTTCATACAAAATTCTAACTTTAAAAAACAGATCAGCTGAAACTACTCTGGTTCAATAAGCGTAGTCAGCTGGGGTCAAAGTATTACCTACTCAGCCTTCTTGCTCTATCCCTCTGAGAAGTTTTCAAGGAACCCCTTAAGACATCTCAGAACACAGAACACCTTTCCTAAGAGATTTTTTTTTTTTTAAAGAAATGTCCATTGACCTCTTTTGTGGAGAGTGCTGGAGGTTAAGGGAAACTGAATAGTTAAACGATTGCATTTTGCTACTTGCTGTCGGCTTAGTGAAGATCTTTTTTTTTTTTTTTTTTTGAGTTGGAGTCTCCCTCTGTCATCCATGCTGGATTGCAGTGGCACATTCATGGCCACCAGAGCTTCAACCTGCTGGGCTCAGGCGATCCTTCTGCCTTAGCCTTTCAAATAGCTGGAACTAAAGGAGTGCGCCACCACGCCTGGCTTATTTTCTGATTTATTGTAGAGATGAGGTCTCACCAAGTTGCCTTGGCTGGTCTCAAACCCCTGGGCCCAGGCAGTCCTCTCGCCTCCACCTTCCAAAGTGCTGGAATTACAGGTGTGAGCCACCACATTCTGCAAAGATCTTAGAAAAGTGGTGTTTGGACCTTTTAAAAATGTTTTAGTGTCAGTGGGTTTACATAATTTATCTTTTTCCTATCCCATCTTGCCATGGAGTGTAGTATATAGATAATCTAGATTTATGCGGCTTTTCTACTAAAAGTTGTTTGGGTCATCCTGAAGGTAACAATCACTAATAATTACAATTCTCTCTCTCCTGATCTTTGATATCTCTCTACGCTCCTGACTCTTACAAAGAACAAAGAACTTTGAGTCTGGTAAGGCCTATAAAGCAACATGGGGAGATGGTGGAGACAACTCACCTAGCAATGTGGTATCTAAACAGCCAGGCCGGGTAACAAATGGTCAGCTTCAGCAACCAACTACAGGAGCAGCCAGCAGTGGATACATTAAACGGTAAGCCAGCTCCTCCTGATATTTCTATGACCTTTCCTGATGAATGTCTTAGGGTACAGTGTGTAGCGGTACATAAACACTAACTCATCTAATAGAAATCACACTTATTCCATTTTTTAAAATGCATTTGAAATCTGCCTTCTGACAAATTGTTGATTGTGGTTTTTGCCCTTGGATGATAGAATTAACTTTATGCTTTTTCAGTACTTTCCAAGTTACTGAAGTAGTTTTACTGCTGTATGTTGTAAGTGTATATATATATTTTTATTTTATTTTATTTTATTTTATTATTATTTTTTTTTGAGTTGGAGTCTTACCCTGTCACCCAAACTGGAGTGCAGTGGCACTCTCATGGCCGCCTCGACCTTCTGGGCTCAGGTGATCCTTCTGTCTCAGCATTCCAAGTAGCTGGAACTACAGGCACATGCCACCACGCCCAGCTGATTTTTTGATTTATTATAGAGATGAGGTCTCACCAAGTTACCTGGACTGGTCTCAAAACCCATGGGCTCAGGCAATTCTCTTACCTCAGCCTCTCAAAGTGCTGGGATTATAGACGTGAGCCACGGTGCCCGACCGGTAAAAATATTTTTTTAAATGTATCATCCAGAGCAGGGGTAAGCTAGATTCCTGTGAAAATATCTGTAAACTGTCAGTGTTTCAAATTTTTCAGACTATACAGTCTCTATTGCAGTTACTCAACTCTGTTTAGGTAAAAGCAACCATAAAAACTATTAAAACAGCTGGGCTCGGTGGCTCAGCCTGTAATCCCACGCCTTTGGGAGGCTGAGGTGAGTGGATTGCCTGAGCCCGCTGCT